ACCTGAACCCAAACCCAATCTCGAACCTGAACATGAAATCAAACTAGAACTAGAACCCTAAATCTGAACCCAAATCTAAATCCAAACCCAAACCCAAATCCAAACCCGAATCCAAACTATTTGAAACCTTTATTTTTCTACTCTTTTATTGATATTTTGTCTTACTAGTTGAATTATTCAGGTATTTCTCATTATTTTTTTCTTTTTTTTATTTTAATATTTGAATTAATATATTCTTTATTTGTTTTGTAGGAGAAAACCCAACAGATCAAAATAAAGAGCATTCTGAAAGAGGTAAACTGCCCATTTTTTTGTATATTCTTTATATATATCTATATATATTTAAACTTTTTAATTTTGTATACTAACCCTAGTTTTTTTTTTTTTTTGCAAGGTGATGCAAATGATATGCTGTCAGAAGTAATTGATATCAGTAAATCATCTAAGAGGAAGGCTAAATGTTCAGTCGAGTTCGGGAGAAGAACTTCTCCTATTTGGGAGCATTACACCTTCATAAAATCTGTCAATGGTTCTGTTTATACCAAGTGTAAGTATTGCAAAAATAAAAGGTATAAAATTGATTCTTATATTAGTGCATCTAACTCTATAAGGCATACTGAGAAATGCCAATCTTATAAGGAATATCTTGCTGAAAAATCCTACTTTGGTAAGTTCTTTTTATCAAAACAAATATTGTGAATTGTTTGCTGAGGCTATTTTGTGTCATGGTTATGCATATAGTATTGTTGAGCATGAAAAACTTAGGGATTTGCATCGTTGCCTTAATTCCTCTGTTAAGGATATATCTAGGTATACTGTTACTAAGTATTGCAAGTTGGAGCATGAAAAACATAAAAATTTGCTACTTGATTGAATGTATATTATTTCAAGTCATGTTTGTTTTACATGTGAGGGTTCGTCTGCCTGCACTTCACGTTCTTCTTTTTCTCTTACTGCTTATTATGTTGATAATAAATGGAAACTTCAATCTAAAATACTTAATTTTCGTCGTTTTCTTCCTCCTCATGATGGTGAGTCAATCTTTAAGTTTTTTAAAAAGATGATATGTGAGTGGGGTCTTGAAAAAAAATTTCATTACACTTGATAATGCTTCTACAAATGATAAAATGGTCAGAAGACTGAAAGATGATTTGAATGTCATTTCTCCTCTTCCCTGCAATGGTAAGTACTTCCATATAAGGTGTGTTGCCCACATTTTGAACTTGATAGTTCAAAAAGGTTTGAAGGTAATTGATTCTTCTGTTATTAAACTACGTGAGATTGTTAAGTTTATTGATTCTTCTGATTCTTGACTTTGTGCATTTGAATTAGTTGTTAAAGACTGTGATTCTTCTTTCTTTGGTAAGCTAGTATTAGATGTTCCTACTCGATGGAATTCTACTTACTTGATGATTCATAGGGCACTTGAGGCTAGATTAGCAATTAGCTTATTTGTTAATTGGGAAAATAAGTTGGATTTTATTATTGATCATGAGTGGGAAATTGTTCAAACAATTTGAGTTTCTTGAGCCTTTTTATGAAATTCTACTCTGTTATCTGGTTCTAAGTAGCCCACTTCTAACTTGTATTTGGCTAACGTTGTTGCAATTAAAAAATTATTGTGTGATGCTCATAATGATCCCTGTGAAGGTATTTCAGCAATGGCAGGACCCATGCTTGAACTATATGAGAAATATTGGTCTGATAACTCAATGATTCTATCTTTTGATGTTTTACTTGATCCTTGATATAAATTACAACTTCTGAAAGAGTTGTACAATGTTTTTTATATTGAGGATGAGGTTCAACGGAGGGTAAGTCTCATTTATAATGAGTTTCTTGAGTTATATGTATTTTATTCAAAAAATGAACCTTGTGGTTCTTCCTCTTCTTCTGTCCAAAGTAAACATCCTTAGGCAGAAATGACTCAGGTTCCAATTGGCCTTGAACATTTAGAAAATCATATCTATTTCTAGTTAGTTATTACAATTTTGAGTTGAATTTTATCTTATTTATTTCTTGTTTTCATTTACTAATTTTTGTCTTTTATTTTTCAGACTTTTGATCTCAATTTAGCTGCTTCAAGGAGTGGATGATCTGATGTTGATTCTTACATCATTTTTCATCTTGTCCCTCATACTGGAGAAACTGAATTTGATATTTTGGAGTATTGGAAAAATCAAAGTATTTCATATTCGGTACTTTCTCACATGGCGAGAGATATATTGGCTATTCCAATTACTTCAGTTGCATCTGAATCGTCCTTTCGTATGGGGGTCGAATTTTAAACAAATTAAGAGCTAAACTCTTACCTAAAAACGTTGAGATTTTTGTAACAACCCGTAATTGGTTGTATGGTTTTGAGTCGGAGGATAAGGATGAAAAAAACTTACTGTGGTTAACGAGTCTTCTATGTAAAGGTAAGCCAAATTGTTTTTTATGTTAATGTCATTAATATTTCAAATTGTTTATTAATTATTTTAATTTTCCTTTTAAATTTTTAGGGTGTCTAATGGTCACTAAAACCATTGGAATTGGAGATTCTGTCTTGTTTCTTCCCTTCAAAGGTAACTTAATATTTTATATTTATTATGTTTATTTAATAGAAGTTTCAAATAGTTAATTAATAATTATTTTTTTTTTGTAGGGTGCCTTACAAGAAGCAATAGTTGGTTCTTCATTCTGCTTGATTCTATTTTATATTATTTGCTTATGTTTGGTATTTCTTACTTCTACTCGATATTTGTAAGGGTTTGCTAAATTCAGAAATGTTTGGCACTGTTGGCCATCGAATTCCCTTTGGCTTTACCACTGATTGTATGCTTTCTTAATGTAGGATGCTTGTTGAATTGATGCAATGATGCTTGTTGAATTGATACAGTGATGCTTGTCAGTTGCTGATGTCTATTACTCACTTATGCCTTGTAAATTATTGTTGTTGGTCTGACTTTAATCAATTTTTGTACCTTGTAAATTTTTATCTAAATAGTTACTCATGTTAAATTATGTTGGTGGCAATTTGGATTTTAAAGGTAGAAAGTTACCCATAATTAAACATGTTAGCAGCATTTAGGTATAAAGGCTCGATGATGATATTTCTAGTAGTAAAATTAGGCTTTTAGCCTTGTAAAACCTTAGTTATAAGATCTGAGAGCATTTATTTCAACATAAATTTATTTTTTAGTTGATTTTATTGTAATTTTAGTGTATTCAAGTGTGATAAAATTAACTTATTCATTTATAAATTTTTTGTTTTAGTATTTGTTATGTTATTCAAGTTTCAAATCTTCAATAAGTTCATCATTTCAACTCATATATATTTATTTTAAAATTTTAAGTTAAGTTATACTTAAATTATTAATCAATTTTCACAAAAAGTAAATTAGATTTATGAATATTTTAACTCAATTTATATAATTTAATAAAATCATGTTCAATAAGACAATATCTAAATTTAATTTAATGATTATAAATAAAATTTATAATATAAGAATTATAAAGAATATAAAGAATTAGAATTAAAATAAAAACCAAATTTATAATATACAAATTATAATTAATATAAAAACTAAATTTCAAAAAATAATAATATTAATTTAATTATCATAAGTTTATTATAAATTTAAAATAACATAATTATATTAATTGTAACTTATTACTTATAAGTCAGGTAAATATTAAATCAGTTTAATAATATGTCGGGTCATTTACAAGTTAAGTCAATTACATGTCAGGTTCATAACAAGTCACGTTGAAAATAGGAGTAATACCAGTTATTTACCAGGTGAATCTCGGATACGAGTTCATATCAGTGGGATGCAGTTCGAGTACGAATATCATATTTTCGGTTCAATTCAGGTTTAAATCATTCTCAGATCAGGTGCAGTTTGGGTTCAGATCTATAATTTCCATGACCAACTTGGGTTCAGGTCAACATCAATTCTAACTCGAGCCGGTTTCAAATCACCACAGCGTATGTCTAAAATAATTTTGACTCAAATCGATTTCAATCAATTTTACAAGTAAGTAGAAAATAGTGGAAGTCAAAAGTGAAGAAAAGGCAAACACGCTTACAGGTCTACCAAGAACCGACAAGGGTTGTTGACCTGACCCACCCGTCCGCGGCCACCGGCCACCACCTTTCTCTCTCCAAGTTCTTGCTTCTGTAAACGAAACCTTATCCTTTCATACCCGAACCTAAACAGGTTCGGTCCCCCGCCCTATATATATATAAAGGTCCCATCTTCAACGGATCAGCTGCCAAATCAGAACAGAAAATCTTGGATTTCGCTGCTTGTAAGGTACGAATCTTTCACAGTTTTTGCGTGCTTGGATCGATGGAATCCTTTTTCTTTTACCTCTTGACTTACAATTTAGTGTTTTCATAAGTGATATGAGTGACGAACTCTATAAAAGTATGTTTAGATGAAGAATTTCATAGAGGAATATCAAGATTTTGAAAATTTGAAAAATAAATTTACTTGTCATGGAGAATTTCAACATTTGTGAGGAATTTCAAAATAGTTTGTGTCGCTGATCTGTTACGAGAATCAAGAAATGAAAACTTGGTGATAGCGATTACAGTCTTCTACATAGATTGACTTCATATGCTTTGAAGAATGGTTGATGATCGTGAAGAACTCAGATAAAAGATAGCTATTGGGAAAGTGCCCGGTAACTCTTTTTTGATAAATTTTGGATTCTATTTTCAAAATTACTCATTGAAATACGTTGTTAATAATATCGGATCCAAAAATATTTTTTGAGTATGGATAGATATACATTAATAATATAAATTTTAATCGAATAGGCACGACTAAAATTTCAGTGTGGTAATCATCATTGAAGTAGGTAAATAATTAATCAAAGAAAATTCGGATTTCAAAATAGGCATGCATGCTTTGGTTCCGCTACTGGTTGTGAAGTAAGAAAAGATGAAAATGTTTTCATCTTGATTCTTGACTATCTGTTGAGCTTTCATCTGTTGATTTGGTTTAAATTCTTGAATATCTGTGGTACAGAATAAAGTGACAAGTAAAAGCAATATATAGAATGGCTCTAGTTTCCGGAGGAAGGTCGAGATTGAACCCAAATGCCCCTCTCTTTATTCCGGCTGTTTATCGCCAAGTGGAGGATTTCTCACCGGAATGGTGGCAACTGGTTACAACATCAACATGGTACCGGGACTATTGGATGAACCAGCACCAGGATGAGGATGGTTTCTATAACTATGCCGAGGATGATGGCACCAACATTGCCGATTTGCTTCCCGATACCTTCGACCTTATTGCCGATGAAGATCTCTTCGATATCAATCTTCAGTTGGATGAATTGGTCCAGTCTTACGAAATGGAAAGCACATCACCTCCTTCGCTGTCTAATACCGGTACGGATATAAACTCTGCCGATTACATTGAGAATGGTAAAACGCTTACAAGTTTGGAAACAGAGAATGAACCGAAGAATATTAATAGATTATCTTGAAATAAAAGAAAATTGTGGGTCATATGTTTTACGATCTCGTTGATTCAAATAGGGTTTGAGAAGGAAGGTGAAACTGTGATGAAGAATCTGAGGTTGATGCAATCAAGTGAACCCTAAGAGCAACTGCTGCCGCTGAAAGAATCCCGTTATCTATGCAGGTTACAGTCTCTCAGGCACGACGGTGGTGTAATTTCCAGTTAGTTTAACTGTAACATCTAAAGAGCAAGGTCATATAGCTCCTGCATCAGTCGTTGTTCATGTTTCTAGTTAGCAGAAAATTGAAGAACAAAAGTGTAAGAAAAATTGTAAAATTTTTTAAAAATCTTCTTTTATCATCTCGCAGACCTGGTTAAATTGCTCAGATAGTGATAAAAAAATTCTATGTAGAGTATGGAGGAAACTTTTTTATCAGATAGTGTGGTTGTTACAATATATGTTGGAGGACGTCCGTACGAAACATCATTTTCTGAAAGACGTCTGGAAAACACAATTTCTTCCTCCTAACTGCTTGTATACATAAAAACAGGTAATGTTACAGTATTGTCAAAGACATCTTATCGTCCAAGCATCTTCTTAAAGATGTTGTATCGTCTGAGTTTCTTCCGCCGAGTCCTGTAGCAACTATCTTAGACCAAAATATCATTCCCTCAAAACTATAGGTGCAATTATATTTTATCACATTGTCTAGAAAACATTTGCCTGCAAACTTATATCCATATATATGGAAAGAAAAGATCATGAATTTTTGAATAAAGTAAATTTGGTTGAGAATATCGTTCTTATAATAAGTCTTTATAAAATTCGATCTGAATTAATAAATTAATAAATCATATATTAATAATTAATTAAAAACAAAAAAAATGCATGGTTATAACTATATTATATAAAAAATTAAGAACAAAAATAAATATTATAATTATAATTATTTAATTTATAAATGACATAATTTATTATAACGAAATGTTATTAAAAATATCTTTATATTAAATTATAAAACAAAACGAAGTTAAAAAAAATTAGTTACGAATACAATATTTTAATATAATCATTATATATCTATAAAAATATATATATAATGTCAATAATCTTTAGAGCATATGATTAAAAGTTTTTTGTTGACACTTTCTTTCCTCCTTAGGTGTGAGTTCAATACTCATTATAAGTAGAGATGAACATTTGTCGGATTTCAAACCGATCCGGATCGGTTTTTATCCGATCCGGTTTTTTCTCATAGAAAAAAACCCGGTTTATAAAATAACCGGTTCAGTTTTTAACCGGTTTGGAGGGCCGGATATCCTAACCGGTGTAACCGGTTTCGGTTTTAAAAAAACCGGTTTTTTTAAAAAACCGGTTATAAAAAAACCGATTTTAATATTCCAGATTACTCATAGGGAACCGATTCCCCCCCAAGGGGGTACCGATTCCTCACTGAATGGTTTGGCTCCGAGATTTCCAGAATGCTCGGAGGGAACCGATTCCCCCATAGGGGGTACCGATTCCCCCCTATTCAACGGTCGAAATATTTGAATTTTACACTTAGGGAACCGATTCCCTATGAGGGTACCGATTCCCCCACGCTCCAAGCATTTTTATTAAATGTTTTCACACTTAAACGGCTATATTATCTTCATTAATTATCACTAAAGTTCAGAAGTGATTCAAAGTGTATTAAGCAAGCTTAGAAGCCATTGATCAAAGATAAGAAACATCAAGCAACTAGAATCAAGAGAATAAAGAAAGCATCAAACCTCAAGTTCGATAAATTTAAATACTTAATTGAAATACTTAATTAACTCAACATAATTGAAATACTTAAATACTTCCAAGTTTGATAAATTCAAATACTTAAAAACTTCCAAGTTCGATAAATTCAAATACTTAAAAACTTCAAGTTCGATAATTGAAATAAAGTTATAAAATAAACTACATTGCCATCTCTTCTTCATCATCTTCGCCTTCTTCGTTTGGAGGGGATATTCCAAGTTCGACTTCTTCAATGTGTAAGTTTGCTTCCAAATCGCATCAATTGCATCTTCTAGTGGTGATATGTTGCTTACGAGCCGCTCCATCCAATAATCCTTTAAACAAATGCATACTTCCACCGACTCGGGACTTAGTCTTGATCTCCGTTGCGATATAACCCTGCCACTAACAGAAAAAGCGGATTCCGAAGCTACCGTAGAAGCTTGGACTGTTAGTAAATCACGGGCCATGGCGGCTAGAATCGAAAATTGTGCTTCCTTTTCTTTCCACCAAGCCAAAATATCCAAACTTTCAAACTCTTCAAATGTCATTTTTGATAGAAAAATCGCATGACATATATTTCCCAACTCGCTACTTGGGGTGGTAGTACGTGATCGTTTGGATTGGGAATTTACAAGAGTGTTAAAAAGATTCAAATTTATGTTACTTGGACGTCTACTAGATGATTCCGCATTCATTCTCATTTGATCGTGTATTACACTACTTGATCCGTATTTATTTAAATAAATTGCAAACATGTCTCGAAACATTTGTTAAAATAATTATTTGGTTTTGGACAAAGTTGGGTTCATCATCGGTTAGATTAAAAGCAAACGCAATTTGTTCATTAGTGTTTCAACCCCCCAACATTAACGTTGGGTTTAAAGCGGCGGCACAGTAAAAATGGGGGGAATCTCCTTAAAATATTTTAAAAGTTTTTCCTTCATTGCAAAGCCAATTTCTGAAAACTTCGGTTTCAAATTCAAAGTCATTTAGTCGGGTAGCCAACAAAAATATTTGATTAAGAACCAACGGGCTAGTAGGGTAATAAACACCGGATAAAAAAGTTGTTGCATTTTTAAAAACCTCAAGCAAATCGGTTATTTTGCCTATAGTTTCCCAACTCGAATCCGGATAAATGTTTGGGACATGACCCCTCTCGAAAAGCCGATCGTGAAATGTTTGCAATGTTTCCCTTTGCCTTAAGGCAGTATGCATCATCGTCCAAGTTGAGTTCCAACGAGTTGGACAATCCAAATTAGGACCCAAAGTTTTTTTATTAACGGACTTACAAAATCGTTTATAATCATTTAGTCTTTTGTTGTTGTTACAAAGAACCAATTTTATCATTGTTTTGAATTCTAATCTAATCGGCTCAATAACCTCCAACCGGCTTGCACGGATAAATTAATTAGTGTGCAACGCAACGGGTATGAAAAAACGCACCGTCTAAAATCGGTGAAAGTTAATATTTTCAATCTGGGAACCGCGTTGTATTATTCGATGCATTATCAAAGGATATAGAAAAACTTTATTTTCTAATTATAAGACAAATTACCCTTTTTAAAAGTGTAAATAAATTAACACCGGTATGCGGCTCACCGAATATTCAAACGCGATTGTCCTTTTCATCATTTGCCAATTATCTTGATCTAACCAATGTGACGTAAACGGCTAAAAAGAATTTCCAGTATTATGAGGGGAACTCCAAACGTCACATGTAAGCGACACACCATAACGGTGTTCTTGGAATCCTAAAATCATTTTTTCCCCTCGCCGTACGCCACATTTTTATAGCATCTCTTCTAAGGGTAGTACGACTTACTTGAGTATAACGTGGTTGCATTAGTTGTTGAATTGTTGTCGTGAAATCTTCATCATCAAAGTGGTCGAACGGCAATGCTTTTGTAATCACAAACTTTGTAAACGCTTCTCGTAATTTTTCGTTGTCGTAAACAAAAACACCACCTTGCGGTGTAAGATTCGATTGACTAGGATCCGATCTTGAGCGAAGTGCCTTGCATGATTTTGTCAAATGGTTCTTCAACGTTGTGTTTCCTTCCGATGCAAGAAACTTTAGACAAGTTTACAACGCGCCCTCCTCGAGCCATTTGACATCTCACATAAATCGTAGTGATCCCAAATGTCTTTGTTTCGAGTGTGTTCGATCACTCTCACGACTTCAAGGTTTCCCCCGACGGAAGATTCAGTTGTGTCTCATGATGAACAAAATTACAAAAGTAAGATTTGAGAGATGTTTGTGTGTGTAATAAGATTTGAGGAATTTGTAATCAACCAAATACATCCCCAACCTATTTATACATGTTTAGGGTGGTAAAATGGTAATTTTTTAAAGAAAAAAAGGTCAAAAACGATCACAAACCCCCCAACGGCTATATTAACTAGTTTTTAAACCCATACCGGTTTTTTTCGGATAAAAACCGGTTTTTTAAACCGATTTTTTCAAACCGGTTTTTTATCCGTAAAAAACCGGTCTAGGTTTTTTTTCTCCAAACCGGTTAAAATAACCGGTTTAAAAAATCTAATCCGGTTAAAAAAAACCGGTTTTTCCCAAAACCGGTTTCGGATATTTTTTCGGATATTCGGATATTCGGATTTTTTGTGCACCCCTAATTATAAGTAATGTTATAATTAAGTTAATGTATTTTAAAAAGTTAAAATCGAGTCAATTAGAATGTGGAATATATAAAATGATTTCAGTAGTAAAAAGGAAAGTTATTAATAAATGTTACGTTTTAATCATATCAAACTATTAAAAAAATGTTAAAATGAGCCATTAAAAATTTATTTAATAGGGTAATCTTTTGTGTGACATGGTAAAAAAAGAAAATGTAACGGTTTGAATTTTGAATGTTAAAAATACAATTACTCGTACGGAGTTAACCATCTGAAAATTGAATATTAAATGTATGAATATATTTCTTCTCGATATAAATATCATGTAAAGTATGCTGAGGATTTGAGTTGCATCAAATTGAGGTAAGAATGATGAGTCGCAGTCGATTGTTAGACGACTGTTGGCCTATATCTAAATTTTTTTGTCTCTATAAAGAGATAGAAGAGGGCTGAAGGAGATGGTTCCAATTCCCTTTTATAGTGATTCTTAATGTTAGTGTTAGACGTAAGGTTATTATGATTATTTGTAGGTTGGCAGGTTAAGGAGATATAGCCGACTGACAGTAGATTTAATCCTAATAGGTTACGTGGATCTGCCATAGGTCATATTGAAATACATTTGAGACATTTTCTCAAGAGATTTGAAAATTATTTTTCTAACTTTTTCTAGAAATTCTAAAGTACGAAGGATGTATATAAATAATGTGAGAGACATGTTTTCTTTTTTTGGAATAATCTAAGATGATTATAAGATAATATATTCTATAAATTTTCCACTATTTGACAATAAAAGCTTAAACAAATTTTCAATCTATGACGTTCGAACTTAGGATTTCCAAAGATAGCCAACCATCACTTTAACTACTGAGTTACCTTAATTTGGGCAGACATTTGTAAACAATACTCAAGGATTTTTGTATGAAATGTAGAATTATATCTAT